ACAACAACGCCAACAGTTAGGGTTAGACAACAACGCCAACAGTTAGGTTTAGACAACAACACCAACAGTTAGGTTTAGACAACAAGACCAACAGTTAGGTTTAGACAACTAAACCAACAGTTAGGTTTAGACAACTAAACCAACAGTTAGGTTTAGACAACAACACCAACAGTTAGGGTTAGACAACAACACCAACAGTTAGGGTTAGACAACAACACCAACAGTTAGGTTTAGACAACAACGCCAACAGTTAGGTTTAGACAAGAAACCACTAGAATAAAACACGGTGTCTTCTGGTTGAAGGTCCTGTTTGTTGGACCCATCCACGTCATGTTTTAAAGAGGGTCAGCTTAGCATACAATTAAGATATCAGCTGATGGCTGGTCTGGATATTTTATGACAGCGAACACACTGAACCCCCATCAGCACTCTGACCTTTCTTTCTCATAAGAAATGCTGCGTGGCTGATCTTTTTAAACTCCGTGAACCAACAGCTTTAAATGAGCAGACTCATTGACTGATATGAAGCAGCGCTGCATCTCTCATGTGTCATGTTGATGTTTCATCCTCACCAGTCATGTGATCTGTGTTCTGGTCGCCGGCCTCTGGGTCCCGGCAGAAGATGGAGCTGGCAGAAAGTGCTGAAAGATGAGTCATTATTAAAATATTTGAATAACATTGAACACATCAGTGAACCACATTAGTGTCATTACACAAAACACAGTCAGTCTCTGCTTTATGTTCATCTACACAACGCTAATATTCAGCTCACTGTTCTACTTTCCTCTGCTAAAAGTATATTGTTTACTCTAAATATGATGTTGGTGAGGTTTTCTGTCCATGTTTTGAAATATGTAATAAATGAATCTCCAGGTGTGACTGGAAGGTGTTTTTAAGGGAGCGTAGAAAGGAACTCACCGTTTGGAGCAGCAGATAGAATGAAGATCCACATCAGGAACATGATCGTTCCTGCGTTCAGAGGGAGAAGGCTGGTTTTAATGATGAACTGTTCAATCAGGTGCAAAGGCAGGAAAGATCTCAGAGCTCCCATTACAATCAGAGAAAGACACAAATGGTGCTCTGAGCCTCATTACTGCAAAGCTTCAACTTGTTGTAGTTGTTTTATAGTAAAATATTTGCTGGACAGCTTGTCCAAAAAGTACAAAAATAAGTACATCATTGAGCGACTGTTTTCTTATCATGAACACACTAGTTTATTCGGACTCAATCCCACTGAAGCACACAATGTGGATTAATCCGCCGCCGAAAATAGTCCTGCAACAAATGCTCCATTTCCTCCTGTTTGTTTGATTGAAAACTACAGTGACCAGCTGTTTTAGGAAATGACTAGTTCTTTAAAATAATGCATGAGATGTCTTTTAAAGATTTACATCTTCAGTCTGAACCAATGGGCTCGGAGCTGAGAGACAGACAGGAAGTCAGAACGTGTAACAGATTCACAGCCGTCAGAAGCTCCTCCCCTTCCTGTTTATTTTACATCATTTACCAAACAGTACATTTCAGCACAAACAACAATGATTACAAAGACCTTTTTAGATCATGTTTTAGACCAACATTAAATAATTTTAAAGAATATTTTCAATTTTGTATTCAAGTTTATTTGTCTAGCTGCATATCACGAATCAAATATTTGACTTAGAGGGCTTAACAATCTGTACAACATATAACATCCTCTGTCCTCTGACCCTCGCACCGGAAAAGTCAAAGCTCCCCTAAAGATAAACTTTAACGGAGAAAAACAGTAAGAAAGAAACTCAGGGAGAGCGACTGAGGATCCCTCTCACAGGATTGGCTGAAGCGCCATTTGAGAGAAATGATTCCGCTTTGAACGCTGATGTTAGTTCTCTGCACAGCCACAGGTGGCAGCACTGAGCACAGATCCTGCATCTGAGCTTGAAGCGCCGTTGGGTGCAAAATAATACCAACGGCACAAAAGGTACGAATGAGCTTCACGTCGTTATTATTTCAAAAGCTTGGCTCAGACTCTGCCCCCCCCCACCCACCCACACACACACACACACACACACACACACACACACCCAGGTGATGTGAGGACCTTATACCCAATCATACATGCATGCTCATCACAGCGGACCAGAAATATCACCTTTCATTCCTGTTCACGGTGTAATAGAGACCTGATCCATAAACTACCCCTTCATTACGCCGCTGATTACAGCTGCGCCACACGAGACGGACGACCTTCTCCGCTCGCCGGTTTGCATCGTCTTTAATGGCTTCAAACAGATCGGCCCACCTGCGGCTCCGCATCGAGGTGACGAAGTGTTTCATTACTGTTGTTATTCAGGCCCAGAGAACAAGAGCAGAGTTATCAGTACTTCTGGAGTTCTCAGAGGAGGTCGGCTGTCTCCTTAATGCAGTTTTATATACATATATACAGTATATATATATATATATATATATATATATATATATATA